ATTTTGTCTTTTTGCTTAGCATAAAATGGTTTCTCGGTATCAATATGTTCTCAAAAATGAAATTTAAAAAAGGAAATGAATTAAGGGAGACCTCAGTTATTGAGCATAATAATGTTCAGGTACCATTTGTACCTACTCTAGTCTTTTGTCTTTGTCTCATCACAGACTCTTAAATAACAGAGAAAAAGGGACTTCTCAGTATCCATTGCCAGTAATCCTGGATTACTGTAATTCTCCTCCTGTTTTTCTTTCTGCTTTTCTGTTTGAAGGGCTTTTCCTCTTTCGTGAATCCAAATAGCTTTATATGATAGAGGAGCTTCAGAGAGAGAATAGGAGAATATGAGTGCTGTAAAAGGTAAAATTTCCAATGATTTATTTCTGTTTTTCCTTTGTTTCACTCAAATATTGAAAGATAGTTGTTTTTTAATGTACCCCACCTCCACATACGCAGAAACGTATACGTCTTAGCCATATGGCTTCACTTCCATTTTTATAAGTCTTTGGTTCTCTCTCACCTATATGATGTCAATAGAAGAAACTGTCAAATGAAATACTGTGTTTGCATGTACATTGAGTTAATAACTCACAAGCTTGAACTTTTTTCAATTATTATTAACATTATCATTATGTGTGGACACACATGCAAGTGCATTTGCATGGAAAAGGGTTTTTCTGATGCACACATACCAATGTTATTCTTTGATATCTTTGAAGGTCTGTTTTTAGATACTCTTATATGCTAGAAGAAGGCAGGTTACTGAATAATTACAGTAAATTTTGTTTGCTTGTTAAATAGTAACTTTTTGTTTGGTTTAGGGTTTTTTTTTGATTTTTTTTTTTTTTTGCATGAAAAGCCTGATAAAAATTAAATACATAAAACATTTAAAACATTGTCAGGAGAAAATAACATTGAAACAAAAGACTTTATTATTAATAAAACAGTGCCACTTGTACATATCGATCAGAGAAGACACTGTGTATGACCCTCCAGAGTAGATAATAGAGGAGCGTGGAGCATAACAACATGCCAGAATTGACACTGGCCTCACAGATGCAGGAGTCTTAGGCTCCTCGCTCGCTCACTGTGTTACCTCCTTAGGCTAGTGGCCTGACTCTATTGATTGCCCATCTTTTCACCTGTAGAATGGGGAAGGATTTATAAGTTCTGACACACCATTTAAAAGTGACACATACAAATTGCCTGGCATGTTGTGATAATTTTGAGGTATTCCTTTTTGCAAGAAAATAATAGTAATGTGCAAACAGACAAACATTTTTGTGGAAGTATAATGCAGTTTTGGGTACATTCTATAGTTGTTGAATATCTGATATAGCTATAGTTTCACAATTTGGTTAAGAAAAAAACTTAACCATTTTGATTATTGTAGAGTAATATAAAATATAGTTATTTTACTGCAAGCCTCTAGGTTGGAAATACTTTTTGGGTAGGTAATAAGATTAAATTGTGCTGTTATTTAAGGAGAAAGAAAAAAGACAATTATAGATACATACGTCTGCAAGTTAAAGACAGCTCTGAAACTCGTATAAAGCATGAGTTATTTCAGTTTTTTTCTTTAATAATACTACTTTTGCTCCATTGTGTCTGCATTTAGTCTGCTGCTGGTCAAAGAAAATCAGTAACTAGTAAAAACTACATAGACTTTTTGGTTTTTGGAGAAGATTGTGCTGTTTTTGTAAGTTTAAAATGACATTCTTTTTTACTTTAGCGAATCATTTTGTCTTGAACTTTAATACTGTATGTTTTTTTCCCCTTTTTTTTTATAATTTATTTTTTCTCAAATCGTAATTCATTCACACAGGGGTTATAAACACAGAAAGGCAGGATGTGGGGAAGGGAATGACACTGGAGTGTGGGTGATCAGGAGGAATACAGATATCATCAGAACCGGGTATCAGCTGGATGAAGGTTCAGGAGACAAGTCACTATGACTCTGCCTATGACTTACTTGTCCTTATCTAAGTTGGTATTGTCTGCCTAGGCTACCTATTTACAAGGTCTATGACTACTCAGGCTTGTAAGTTTCCACAAAAGCTGCCTGTTTACATTAGCTTATAGCCATCTGTTTCAATGTTTTTCCACTGAGACCCAAGACTTGGTGTTAGTATACATGTATGACAGGCCTATTGCTGATTTTAGGTCTATGGCTGATTTTAGGCCTTCAGTGGGTAAGCAGGGCTGCCCCTGACATCTCCTCCCTTCTCTAAGTATAGAAGGACTGTGGCAATTCTAAACTTGCGAAGGCGGGGATAGAGGCCTGACCTCCAGTAATTGAAGGGGACCTTGTAATGGCTCCAGTCCCCCTGTCGTTGTCCAGTGAGGCATGAGGGCCATACCCGTCCCTATGTCTTTTTCCCGGAGAGGGGATACTTTTGACATCAACCCCTATGCAGTCAGGCTTGTCCCTCAGGGAACCCAGATAGATATTTTTATCTTTTATTTATATTCCCTTGTAGTGCTTAGCCTGGCAGCCTAAGCAAGAATTCAGATCGCCTGACAGAGGGGGTTCTGGGTGGCCCCTCTCTGCTTGGTCTAGGGGCAGAAGTCCCCCCTTTTAGGTTGGGTGGAGATGGGTTTTGGAAACACCCTGTATAAAGTAACAACCTCATCTTGAGTCTCGTGGTCCTCCATAGCTAACTTATGATAATGTATCTGAGTAGGTTTTGCTACCAAATTATTTATCTGTTGTATCAGAGTTAGTCCGCCTATTTGAGAGCCAGGGACCAGCAGAAAAAAGCAAAAAGAACCCAAATAATGGTCCCAAGATGGGAGGAAATAGGGTTGACAACCTTGGAGAGGCTGAAAACCAATTCTTGTACCAGCCTTCATCTGTCTCTTTCTCTCTCTGATTTTTCTTAGGGTCTTCACTACCTGTTTCATGCTCTCTTTAACCCTCCTTGTCTTGTCTATGTAAAGGCAACCTTCTTCTTCAAGAGCTGTACACAGTCAAGTGCTGTACACAGCCTTTTCTATTGTAATAGAGTAAATCAAGTCCAATAAGGATCTTTGCGATTTTAGGAGGTCTCTTCAGACAGCAAAATGAGGGATTTCTTCAGATTAGTGATGTCAATCTTTAGCTTTTTGATGTTTTTGTCAGTGGCCCTTCAAAGGTCTGAGTAGTGTAAATTCGGAGGCCAGCATCTGGATTAGAACTTCTAACAGCAGACATCACGGGTGATTCATTTTTACCTGGAATGCTGCCTGAGTTAAAGATCCTGGGAGTCCCTCTTTCTCTCAGTTTTCTGGGGTTGGGTACAGAGCTGCTGCCTGTGACCTGTTCTATGCTTGGGCCCAGACAGGAAGTCTTTTTCCCCATTTTTTAAAACCTATTTTGTGATCAGTGGAAAACTAATGGTGAAATTATAAAGCAATTTAATAAAATATGTTTCATAAGAATGACCCTTTATTGCTTTTGAACAAATATCATTCTTAAGAACCAAATCTGAGAATTTTTTTATATTTTGTTATTTCTGTTCAGACTGAGGACAAGGGAAACAATCGTGGTTGTATTTTTACTTCTTTTTCATTTTAGTAGACAACATTGATTGTGTACTAGTCATGTATCAGATATTGTACTTATAATCTCTATATAATATAGATTATTAAATACATGTTTCTTTAATTTTCCTTTTAGACTGAACAAGAAATTGTAAGTAACTAAAGAATGTGTAGTATATGGTTATAGAATTGAGATATGATTCCGGATTTGACCAATTTTTAGTCATTAAGAATTGTTGCCAGGTGGTGGTGGTGGTGTATGCTTTTAATCCCCCCTTTTGGAGGCAGAGCCAAGTAGATCTCTGAGTTCGAGGCCAGCCTGGTCTACAGAGGAGTTCCAGGAGAAACTGTGTCTCAAAAAAAAAAAAAAAAAAAAAGTCGGGCTAGTCCCATAGTATTTTGTTTACAGAGTAAAATTGGAGAGTGTGTGCTGCTTAACATGTACTGTCTAGAAGTTTTCATGCCTCTAAGTCATCTTTTCTTTCTGTAGGAAAGACGCCTAAAAGAAAGAGAGGCCAGAAGAGAAGCCAACAAAAGACAAGCAAAGGTGAGGAGGGTATATGTGTGGGCGTGCATCTTCATCTCTGTAGTCTTTTGTTCTTTTTTTTTTTTTTAAAAAAAAAAAAAAAAAAACAGGTCTGTTAAGGTATTTGACAGAGAACTTTATATAAAATAAACACAATCTTTTGTAATAGCAAAATTGTTCTAAATCTATTTTTCCATATACACTTACTTTTTGTGTTTATTTTTCAGTACCAGGGCATTCTGGATTTGAGCCTTTGTAGCCTAGTCTTTACTTTGTCATTTGTTTCCTTTATAAAGGGTTAAAAATTCTAAGCTAGCGTGCAGTCTGGACTTTGCCTGATCCTTCTGACCACCTTTTCTATTAAATACAGAAGAAAGCGTACTTTGTGGGCCAACTGAAGGATTTGCATACTTGTCAGTTTTAGGCTAAAATATGGCTTATTCGCACTCAATTGGATAATTTGATAATAGATTACAGTGAGATTACAGTTGCTTTGCTTCACCTCTGAAGACCTAGATGAAAACACTCTATATAAGCTTCAGTATATCTCCAAAACATGTAGTTTGCCTGGAATATATATAATGTATAGTTGTAAGCACCATCCATGTGCAACTTTTACTTTTAATCTGACATGCTTAACATTGAGAAGGTTTCAGCTCCTGCATTCTGAGGGCATCTAATAGAAATGATACCTGGAACCCAGAGTCAGATACTGAATTTCATTTCTCATGTGCCATGCCTGACTAGCCATGATTGTTTTTTTCTTGGCAGTTAGCAAATGTCTGACTCACTGAGCAAGCTCACCATATTCTTTGCTCCCAAACTCTTATACTGGCCATAGCATTTAGGAAGCAAGTCAGAGATAACTGCTGTAGTTTTGAAATGGGAAGCAATTATTATATAGTGTAAAAGGAAAAGACTGCTTACATTCACTGTTAAATAGCAGTGTCTTTAAAAGTCTATGAAAATGAAAGTTCCAGAATGTACAGCCTGACTATTAATGCTTCTGCATAACATGCAAGTTTGAAGTGTCATGGCCTAGAAATTTGGATCATAGGAACTGTAGTGGATAAATAAAAGTCTAAGAAGAAAATCTTAATCTTAATGAAAACAGTTGATGTTTATTGGTATTTCTTGTTCAGCATTATATAAGCCCGTTTTGTTTTATTAATAAGCCCTCATTTCCAGATAGGAAATGTCATGTTACTCTGTTTCCTTTGTGTTTTTACATCTGTGTGTGTATAGTCTTCCTTTGTGTTTATGGGTCCCTTATTTATAGAGTTATCCATCTATAGACCAGTAGTTAAGCCTTCATTTATAATGAACATATACATTTCCTTGCATTGATTTTTAAAGAAGATTTTATTCTTATTTATGTGTTCTTGTTTGTGGCTGTGTGGGAATGTGTGTATATGACTGCAGGTGCCTGTGGAGGTCAGGTCTCCTAGAGTTGGAGCTATAAGTGGTTGTGAGCCACGTGATGTGAGTGCTGAGGACTGAATTTGGGTCCTCTGGAAAGTAACAAGTGTTCTTAACCACTGAGCTACCTCTCCAGCCTTTGCCATTATTTTTTTTTTTAAAAAGAATTTAACAATTGCATACAACTTAATATAGTACTGGGTTTTATAACTCTGGTATCATCTAAAGTATAGGGACTTGGACATCTTCAGGTTTGGGTGTTGAGGATGGATAAGAAACTTGTCTTGGAACTAGTTTCCTTGAGTCTTGAGGGAAGACTGATTAGTATAATTTAGTTTTTATATTTGTTGATGCTGTGTTCTTAGTCTTTCATAATGGTTTGAATTGTAAGAAGTTATTTTCACTTACTGGACTGCTTCTAAACTCCTTTTCTTTAATTTTCCTAATAGATGAGTGACTGTGCTTAGTTTTGATCCTCTCTCTGTTGGGGAAGAGAACTTATGGCCAGTGTTAATTTTTTCCAATAGGGCTGATCTTGAATATGAACTCGTTGATGAAACCTCCCTCCTCTCCTCACTTTTTATGTTTTTACTGTGTGTCTGTTTTATGACATCCAGTAGAGGACTTCCTTGTCAGAGGAAGGTCTTGTAACTGTGTAGCCATGAAGGAGCATGCTGGGAATTAATAAAAGGGGGCAAGGCTGTGCCAATGATAAGGTTGTCTCATCTAGGACCTTTAATAGATGAGGCTTTGTCTTATAGTTGCTGAGCATAGTTGAGAAACCTCCATAACACAACCCCTTTCTGGGGGTGGAGAGATGAGAACCATCTCCTTTGAGAGTATATTGTGGGCAGAGTGGCCAGTTTTTAACCAGTTCCCTGACATTCCCAGTATACGGAGGTAAAATGAAAGCCTAGTGAATTCTCTCAGAAACTTGATAGTATTATTTTGATAAAGTTTATATTTGATCTGTTGAAAGAAAAATATGAGGGTGAAACTTTCATGATGTTTTTCTGAGTACCCAATATTTAGTGATTCGGGAGATACAGGTTTCTAAAATCAATCAGTCAATCTGTCTGTCTGTCTGTCTGTCTGTCTGTCCATCCATCGATTCATCCATCCATCGATTCATCCATCCATCCATCCTTGTTTTTTAAATATATTAATTGTGTGTGTGTGAGAGAGAGTATGCATGTGTACACATTACAGTGCACATGTGCAGGAACAACTTACTGGAGTTCTCTCCTCACTCTATGGGTCCTGGGATTATATACAGGTTTTCAGGATTGGTGTCAAGCCAATGTACCCACTGAGCACTTTACTGGCCCAAGATACAGATCTTTTCGTTAATGAAAACGTTCTAAAGTAAAGAAATAAACTGAACAGGAGGACTGCTTGGTTTTCAGCTAACAAAATTAAATATAGTTGTCATGATGTTCAACAGAGTACATTGATTTTAGACTTAAGAGAATTTCTTAGTCTTTGAAATATAGCTCATTATTTAACTCTCATTTAGCTACTTTCCTGAGGTACTGGCATTTGGTCACACGTGCTGATTATAAGAGCTGATAGCTGGAAGGAGTTTTGCAGTTATGTAAAAAAAGAAACAACAGTGCAAAAACTTGAAATATACCCTCAGACTTGACAGGGCTCCCATAACTTTAAAAAGAAGGAGGATTTATTAAGCACAAGTATATTGTTGATGAAATAGAATATTGCTGATAAAAGAACAAAGAGAACAGTGTAGAACTGAAACACTGGAAAGTGACATTATATTGAAATTTAAAACAATTCATATATTTTGAGGTTGAAGTTCTACATTCATAAATCTTTCTGGAATGAGGTATTTCTGCTTCCCCAAATGACAAAACTCTTTTACTGTATTGTAGTTTTCCTTCAAGAGTAGTCTGCTTGATAAGTTTCCCAAAGACATAAATGTGGTTGCAAATGCCCTTAATCCCAGACAGGGTTCTGCATTTTATCTTTAAAGGAGGGGGTCAATGGGAAATGAGAACAGATACATGAACACAGCTAACAAAGAATAAGCTTTGCACTGATTACTTCAGAGTGTTCTTGGTTTTGGAGGTGAGTGATAGGGCAAAGTGATTTCCTATTTTGAAGAATTTATGGTGTCTACTACCTCGTATGTTAGTGGCAGTAGATTTTGTGAATAAGGAAGAGTTTTGAGGATACATTTTTATTTTTGTTGTGTGTGGACTATAGAGTTACAAAACTTTATTGTTTCTTCCTTTTAAGCCATAAAGGCTTTTGTTGGAGAGCACCATAAACTACTGCTGCAAAGAATCTAAAGTTAGTTTCTAGAAGAATTTCTCCCTGCAAATAGTCACGTATCTCTAAAATACCACTAAGAATTTGTCTTTTCTCTCTGACATGTTTTTTTTTTTTCCCTCTAATGAATTATAGGTAAAAATACTTTGGAAACTAAAATTTTATTTCTGTTATTATTATCAACAATAAGTGATGTATCTTTGTTGTATTTTCTTGCTTTGGGAAAAAGATATTGTCAGGTATCTATAATATTTCATACAGAAAGGATTTTCTTTTCTGTGTTTTTTTTATTATTATTGATATATTAAAGGAGTGAAAGATTTTACTTGAAGATAACTCTTGAATTTGTTATCTTTATGTTGTGTTGATGTAGCTGTCCTGCAACATCATCTGGAGTGCTTTTGCCTTTGAGAATGCTTTCATCAAGATTACCTTTAATCAATAAGTTTATGAAATAAGGTGAAGCATTATAGCCATTCAACTTTTGAAAGAAGCTTGACTCAGAAAGTCTACTTACCTGACTTAGATTAGATCATATTTAACTGGTGAAATGAAAACATTGTCAGATTTCTGTCTTAGGCTGAATAAAGGTCTTTTGGCCTTATTTAGGGGTTTGTTTTTCTCTTGAGATTTTTTCTTTAACAAATCCTACTTGTATTGCTTTGGGCAGTATGTAGGGTGTTTAGCAGGGAGTGGTAGAATGAGTTCTTGAATTTATCTCTGGTTCTTCTGAACCACTGGAGATTTATATGCATGTGAATTCTTCTCCATCATTCTGGTTCCCTGAGCTTTACTTTTCCTTATTAATGCAAGCATTTTGGAGAAATGTTGGTAATCTGCTATAGTGACTATTTGGCTATGCATTGTGCCATACTTCTGGTTTAGGTAAATAACAAAGAAATGCATACATGCCATGCCAAAATCTGTTCAAATAGTAGTTATAATTATCAAACATTGGAAATTAACCAAATTATATAGTAGATATAGCCAATACATTGCAATATTATGTATCTGTCATTGCTACTTACTGTAACAGGAACAAATTTCACAAATACAAATTGAGCAAATAAGACAGATAGAAACTTAATGTATAATACTCTATGTAAAGTCTTTCTGGAGCATTTCTCTAACATTTAGTGTTAGAGTTAGGATACAGGACTGATTTTAGGGGTGGGATATTACCACTGAAAAAGATAGGATAAATGTGGGAGATTTCTAGGGAGCTTGAGTTCTGATTCCTAATTTGGTTGGTTATGTGGTTATGACCACTTATCAGACTATATGCTTGTGATTTATGCATGTTACTAAATCTA